AAGTTTATCAAGACATTTTGCTGGAGAACTTAAGGCCATCTGTCCACCAATTGAAGCTCAACAGAAGATGGGTGATGCAACAGGACAACGACCCAAAGCACAGAAGTAAATCAACAACAGAATGGCTTCAACAGAAGAAAATACGCCTTCTGGAGTGGCCCAGTCAGAGTCCTGACCTCAACCCAATTGAGATGCTGTGGCATGACCTCAAGAGAGCGATTCACACCAGACATCCCAAGAATATTGCTGAACTGAAACAGTTTTGTAAAGAGGAATGGTCCAAAATTCCTCTTGACCGTTGTGCAGGTCTGATATGCAACTATAGGAAACGTTTGGTTGAGGTTATTGCTGCCAAAGGAGGGTCAACCAGTTATTAAATCCAAGGGTTCACATACTTTTTCCACCCTGCACTGTGAATGTTTACATGGTGTGTTCAATAAAAACATAAAAACATATAATTGTTTGTGTGGTTTTAGCTTAAGCAGACTGTGTTTGTCTATTGTTGTGACTTAGATGAAGATCAGAACACATTTTATGACCAATTTATGCAGAAATCCAGGTAGTTCCAAAGGGTTCACACACTTTTTCTTGCAACTGTATATAAGGCTTGTTGCCATAGGGACAGAGAGGATTTCTTTCCGCCTTCTGGGTTTGGACCGAGTTAATTTTGTACAGTATTGCTCCCTTTGATCCCCTGCACACACTGTGAAGTTGGAACAGTGTGCACAGTGTATTTGTGTACAGAGAGAAACTAAATTGCTGTATCTGTGTAAATGCATTTTCCTTGAAATGTTGTTTTATCGTCCACTAATTAAGTGACCTTGGAAAGCACACTGAACCCCAATTGATGCGAGAGCTATGCCTATATCCATTTACTACAAAGTGGACATGAATCGCAAGAAGATGAATCGCTCACTCACCGGAAAACCCAACTGTTTGGACTGCACCTTGGCCATTATGGTTTAAATAAAGGATGCAGCACTTTAAAAGGCCTCATATGAAGCTGACGTTCTTGTATGAATGCGTATCCTTGTGGTTGAATGCACTTAATGTAAGTCAATTTGGATAAAAGCATGAGCTAGATGAATTGTAATGCATTATAAAAGGTAATAATGTAGACAAAAAAATAAGCACTACCAACAGAAAGCTAGATCAAGGGATAGCAATGTGAGCTTCACTACTACAACGGTATTAGATTATGTAGTGTGACTCACTTTAAGAGATGAATATGGTGTTTGCATAAGTTGTTTTTTCTGTGTGCACAATGGGTGTCACTGTTGAAGTGTTCTGGGTTCAACTATTAAAGTTGCCCGGTGTTTGATGCAGAAGAACAAAGGGTTTGTTTATCGGGAACATGTTGGATTTGTTGTTGTGGAAATGACATTTGTAAACGTTTATGTGCAATAAATCAATTACACGCTTGTTATTCTACAAGCTGGAACGTTTGCTGATTCTGTTAGCATACCGTAGTCTAACAAAAAGCTAAGCACATCACAAGGTCACTCCAGAGTTGGACTTCTCCTTAGATTTCATTCCTTATGAAAGGAATAAAGTGCACTTACAACTTTTAAAATTGCTGTACAATTATTTGAATACAGCTATGACTTATAGGACTCAAGCTGTTATCTGTCGCTAGCTTTAATGTCTGTCCCTCTCTCCTACTGTATTTGTGACTTCATGTGAAGCTGTTAGATTTCAGTGTTGGCACTTTGTGGTTGTTTTTTCACGGAGAAAAAGGCGATTTAACCATTCAATACCTCTGCTTCCCAGGATTGCTAGAGGAGTCGTCGACCAAGTGATCGAACGCGGTGCAGAAATCGTCAAGTTCTCCATTTTCACCGAATGCTCCCCACTCCATGTTCACACACATACGGCCGTCATCCCCCTCCAAACGCTCGAAGTTCTGCATTTCCTCCATGTAGCAGCAGTTTGTCCCTGTGCCTGAGGTCAAGACAGGGGGAAAGGTATAAGTACAGCCATGAAAGAAAAACAATCACTTTAGCTTAATGCCAAACAATTAGCTTAATGCCAAAGTAAAAATACAAAAAAGAAAAAAATAATAAGTCAGAGATTTGCTTACAGTGTAATTAATCTAAATAGGGATGCATGACTATATTGGCACGTTATATGTTTAAGCAGATTAAGGCTTCCAAATTAAAAGCAGCCAGAAATAAACATGAATATTTGAAATTATGCATTTTATCCAAATATATAACTGCAAGTTTTACAAATTGTCTTTCTTGTTTTTTCTAGGGAATGTGTATATTTCGAAGAACATTGTATTTATTGTCAGCCAGTGGCCATCATGATTACAGTAGACATATTAAAGAGTACATCTAATGCTCTTTTCAGGTTCATATTTGTATTAAGTGTCTCTACTGTGACATGTCTCCATGCTTTAATGTTCAAAAAGCTCTTTATTTTTCTCATACTGCCTGTGCTGCAGCACCTCTTTTCACCCTCTGTCTGAAACCAGAGCCCAGTCTGCTCTGATTGGTTAGTGTAAGGAATAAAATCAATATATATGTGGCGTAACTTTAAATTAATAACACTGATTTATTCTGTAACCGGATGTTCACGACATTGTCGACACACTCGACTTCCTGTCTGTTCAGACCATGGATGTATAATAAGAACTGGATACAGCGTGGGAGGCGGGGTCTCGTACTTTCCTATGAGAGCTGCTCATTGGCGCATGAGGACAAAATGGCCCAACTCTTGAGAAAGCGAAACGTCACAGATTACCCATCATGCCTAGCTGTCAGAGCAGAAGAACCCGTATGTGCGCTCACAGAGCATGCGCCCCGCCCCCGAGCTCCCACTCTCGGCTCACTAGAATGAATGGAGACAGAAAATAAATCTAGATTCGGCTTTTAGCGCATTTTACAACTTTAAGGACCTAATTATTCTAATAAGGGCTATAAGATAGTTCATACTGGGTAGTTAAAATATCCACCGATTTACAGACGTCTCTTTCCCCATGTTAGTCAATGGGAAAAAGTTGTCACGGACTGATATGGAAATTGCAGTACCGCCGTTTGGACACAACTAATATTTCAGAGTCCGGCGCACTTCCTGGCGGCTTGGTTCAGACGGTGTTAGTAGCATTAGCATGTAGCTAATATAATTTTGTGTACGTGAATATAAGGAGAATGACACGTGGTGTTGCACACGAAACACACTGTCTTCAACTCTCTCTTATTGACGCTGCAATACTATTATTAGGGAATGTTTAAATTACCAACAGGTATTTGAAGATTGTAAAAATAACGACAGGAAATGATGACAGGCAGGACGTGCCTTGGACCCGCCCCCCGTCGACACTAAGCCAATGGGAGAAGACTTCAGATGATAAATATGTGACACAAGCAGGAAGTCGCTCTCTTTTCTCCTCCCATGCCAGTGGGCGGAAGAGCACAGCTGTGACCTTTTGCAAATTCATTGTACCATTGTTTTATTAAACGCTGTTAACTTGTAAATAAGCTTCCTGGACTCTTTTCAGCTAAAACTCAGATCGTAGAAACTCCAACATTAGCTGGTCGTCTCTGTTGTGATTGGTTAAGAGATGTCCCGCCCCTTAGCCTATGAAGTACAATGTGTTGGAGCGCTAGCCAATGAGTCGTTTCAGACAGACAGTGTGTGGGAGAGAAACTCCCTCTGGAAGGAATGCAGGGGTTTAAGCCTTTGCACAACCCAATATAACGTAACACACTACAGGAAAGGGAAAACCCAAAAAGCATAATAAGTCCTCTTTAAATTGTATTTCCTCAACAAAAAACTTCACTGCAATTAGGTGGAAAAGATATGTGCATAAATTGGTACTGGCAATGAGCCAATATGAGTTTTAAAACAGCAGCACTGCTGGACATCTGCAAAAATTCAATATAGCTCGTCCCTAATTATAATGTTTAAAAATGGCACGAACACACAGAGAATGCCTCCAGCGAAGAAACAGGTGAGTGGGTTGTTTGGTTGGGGGGGGTAGACAGACTCACCTACAATGAGTCCCACCTCACACTGGGGGTCCTCATAGCAGCAGGTCATCATGGTTCCCACCGTGTCGTTAACCACCGCCACAAAGTTCAAGTCAAATTCCTGGAAAGCAAGGTGGTTTATTTATATAGCACACGTCAACAACAAGGTAATCTGAGGTGCCTTACAACTGACATAAAAGCATCAAGATAACATAACATAAGACTTTATTCATCCCGAAGGAAAATGTTGTGCCAGAGTTTCAAAAATACAATAAACACAGCAGTACAATAATAATACAACTGTACACTAACAGTGCAGTAAAAACAGCAATTAAATAAATACAGGAAACATAGACAGTCACATAATTAATGTATATATTAACAGTATTTAGTAGTGCAAAAACCGTAGTGGTAGTTACGTAATTGCACGTTAGTTATCGAACATTATTAATAATAATAATAATAATATTGCACATGATAGCAGAGTATTTTGTAATGATGGTAATAGTATTTATATTGCACATAGTGGTGGTGTGGAATTTCTCAGTTCCCTTTACTGAAGAGTTATATTGTTTGACGGCCACTGGGAGGAAAGACCTCCGTTGGCGCTCTGTGGTCTCGGACATGGTGCAAAAGATTATAAAATGACATTAAAATATAAAACACTGTCATTAAAGGAAGCCGTGATAAAGGTATGACAACCTCCACCTCTCAGTGGAAACACACAGTAATAGTCGATTGTTTTCACCATGACCCTGGCTTTGTATCACTGGAGAACAGGACATTTGGGAATATAAAAGTGTTTTATTGAAGGTTTCTTTAGATTTTGAGAATGTCCAAATGTACTATTCCATAAGGTCAGTATACAAAATGCTTGTATAATCACAGACCTTGTTATTGTTGTCTATTGTTAGATTTATTTTATAATGTACCGTCGACTCTACAGGGTCTTACAAAATGTACTTTTCATTATAAAAGCTCCATTGATGTATTTTTCTTTTGGCTGGAATAAACTTTTTTTACAGCAGACTTTATTTGCCAACCTTGGGAGAGAAGGCAGAATAGTGCTCGTTTTTTTTGACAACTTAAATGCAGGGTAGGTAAGAATGGAGAAACCAGCTCGAGTGCGCTAAAATATGAAATCTGCCTCTTCCTTCAGACTTCCTTACAGAGCCCCTCCTCCAACACACATGAACGTGCACATGACCAATGAGGGCACGAGATAAGTTTGTGCACAGATGGAAGGCTGACAGGC